CTGAAGATGATATTGAATTAGTTTCGTAGAAAAGTATCATGAAGTCATAACTCATCGATTTCTTAAAGAACTTTTTCTCAATCTATCTAGAAGGACCTAGTGGAAAAATTTTTCCTTCCTCTCTACAATTCGTTGAATTCACATTTATGGTGTAAGAACGCAATTGAATTTTGTGAAAAGTAAAATTGGCGTGCAAGTTGACGAATTACATACATGCGGCAACGATTTAAAATTATTGAGGAAAAAGTTAATAAAGATTTTACACTATAAAATAGAAAAATAGCGATTTGTTAATTCATAGACGGAGAACAAAACAAATTCTGTAGAAAAAAGCAGAATAAATATAAAAGGTTGGCTTCATATCAAATAACGTGACGGTTTGTTGCGAAAAAAGCGATGTCTGTCCGGAATAGAAGATAGATTTGATATACATATTACATATGTGATAGTTAGATGAAACTGTGATGGGAGTCGGCTATCTGAACGCACGCGTTTACGTGTTCTAATAACAATTTCAACCGTGTGACGTGCGTTCACGTAGCACAGCAATATTAAATTTGCAATTACTTTCGCATATTTGCGTACACGACTGTTCGTGTACCAATGAATGAGCTTTTAACTTTTTATATTGCTTTTCTGTGCCACTGTACTAAAAGGTAATTTGATAAAACAAAATACGTGTCGTCGATTAGAACAATAGGGTTGCATTCCGCTTCTGTGAGTTGTACATACATAGCTTTGTAAATAATGTTCCAAGTATCATGGAAAGCTGCTTTACAATGCACAGAATGTAGAGGTAAAACACGTAGTTTGTCGTATATCTCATAATACAGCAACGAACTTCCATCATTGCCATAAATAGTAGTTTTATTCTTAGATCTCTTTTCAACACATAGTTTCGTCATTCCTTGTACCGCCTCATGCTGTTCGTTTTTATTTATATCCATTGATATTTTTGAAAGCGTCAGGTATCGACGTCGTTTTGTCAATTCAAGAAAACGTTTAGGTTCGTTTCTCAGTACTCGTGACAACTCGGTGGCAGATCGTAAATTATAATAATGCGTCCAGTCGACGGAGGTTAAATCAGATTGACACTCTTCAATTAGTCGGCCTCCTCCTCAAGTACCTATCGGGTGCTCACATCCTCATAAGAAGTGTAAGAATTGCACGGCTCTCATACGTACAAATACAATTCTTGCTTGTTAACGGTCGTAAAGAATAAAATGCATATTGCCACCTCCTGTTCATAAGATCATATCTCGGCGGATCTGTGCAACCAAATGTAAAACTAAACTATCTACCAAAGTGACAGGTTTGAGAAGAATTTAAAAAAATCTGAGATAAAATAACAAGTAGCAAGCTTTTAACTATGATTTTAATTCGAACTTTATTTAGCATTCATTTGAATCAATCGAGTTCTATCCTATCTTATTTCATTGTGACTGCTCGTCAGGATTTAAAATCTGTAGCTTGTCAAGTAGGCCGAGAATCATTTTGGATAGCTTTCCATTATTTTGTAACATAAGCTATATTTTGTCTAATTAAATATTCATACGTCGTACTTCTCCATAATAGAGAAAATACTTAATGGTCGCTTCGAATAATAAAAATGCTCCAAAGTCGAAAACAATTATCCACTTGATGCTTGGTTCTTTATGCGCGGCGGTTTCTGCTCGGGAATATTCAATTACAGGAAAAGTCGGGCGAGGCTTTCGGCCGTGAAACAAAAGTCGGCTCGCGGCGGATAAAACGAATCACGCGAGCACGTGCGTGTGTATGTGTGAAGAACAGAAGCGGTTCGTGACCAGACGATTTATCTATCGATAAAAGCGGGATCAAAGGTGAAAAGTTGGCGTGTAGGGCCGGGTATACGGACGGCCAGGCTGTAAACAGCCATTTTTATGGACGATAAAGCAATATCGAAAGATTTCCCGGTCGAGCTGCTTTCAATTCGGCCTAGCCAATCGAAAGCTTTTCGCAACGCCAACGAAATATCGAGAATCGGGGAGCTAAATCGGGGATGGAAGGATAGAAGCAGCTGAGTCCCGGCTGCGTTCCTGCTTAAGAGGGAGATATGTAGAACGAGACTCGCCTGACGGATTAGCCGACGGACAGTGGAGCACCGATGCATCGTTTACCGATTCGAGATAAATTGACTGTTTCGCTTGATTTTCGTCGTCCGTAAGCGTACAGACCACGCAGGGGCCATTTGTATCAATTCTCCACTTTGTGCAATTTCCTTTTTTCCTTCCACTTCCGAGATCACCTACCGTTTTCTTCCGACCCCTGTTGCTCGCTGTATCGATTCCCTTACTGCTCGCAGTTCTTCGAAGGGTCTGTTCGCTCGTAAAGAGGCTACGAATTGTCATTCAACTGGCTAGAACTCATTCTTCTTTTTGGACTTTTCTACGCGATCTAACGGCCATTCAATTGCGATCGTTCCTGCTTTTCTTCATCTCTATTTTCTTCCTTCGAACAGACTCACCGAGTCATCGAAGAGTTTTTAAATCCTGTTAATGAAAATAGTGGCTTATCGCGTGTCTGCCATGACTATTCATCGTCCCAGTGCCATTCTCGAAATCTTTGACAGAACGATAAATTGTCTTTACCAATGAAACCCGAAGTTTCGAACACGTTGCGCGCTAACAGCACGTTTCGCGAATAGAAATCAGTAAGCGTTCTCGACAGGCGACGATATATTTCATAGAAGTATTCATATTCGTAGAAGTCCTTGACTGTCGGTTTTCTATTTTTGGTTTTTTATTTCAATTTTGAATGACACGAGATTAACAAGTAATAACGAATAGAAGACGCTGCGTATTCTAAACATTTTAAATTAGAAAATTTATGGAACAAAATCTCGGGCAGCTGATCGTTTAAAAAAGTTTCTAGTAAAAGTTCTATGAATACGCGATTCCGTGGTTTACCTCGGTCATCTAATAAACCACTGTAAAGTCGATAATGGATGTCGTAACAGGTTCTCGTTTCAATTCTTGGCAACCTATGCCTTCTGAATTTAGCTAAAGATTGTCGAGATTGCTTGCCAAAATGTTCGCAGCGACTTCTTGAACTAATATCGAAGTTCACCTGTGGAGACTTGGAGATGGAGCTCGAAACTATATACATATATGTATGTACACGTATATGTACGCGAATAGGATTCTAATGTAGATAACGTATCAGAAAACCCATAAATATCCCATAAAATCCATCATAGCTAACTAGGCATATCAGGAAAATGTTAATATCCTATTTTTACTATCAAATATTTATCTTCTCACAAGTTCTTAATTATAATTTTATTTAAAATAGTATTTCACAATGGAAAATTCACTTTATACGTCGATCAGTGTTATCGCTGCAGCCATGGTATTATTTAAGGAGCAACAAAGTCTGTAGTGCGTGACCACGATTTACATTAGTACTATGGGAACCAGAGAGCTATTAGTACGGAGGGGCCAGGTTTCGCGAATGAAAAGGCTCGTGAGGCGATAATAAGGCGTATATAAACGAGTCGAAAGGAGTTATCGTTTCCGGCCGTTTGCGACACTTCCGGTAAAAAGAATCGTTTTAGCGGTCTTAAGGAGCGGACCCTCGTAATTCCATTATCACCCCCGAATGGCATTAGCATAATAACGAACGGCACGTTTTAAAAGTTTTAGCACGCCCCTTCAAACTCTTTCTAATTCTCTTCCTGAGAGGGGACTCATCTTAACGTGATAGCACAATATGCCGGAGCTTTAGGATGTAATTGAATTTAAACTGGAATTATGGTCGAGCTTTCGCGTCGCTATCGCGCCGGCCTGCCCTCTGGTCTGGGTACATAAGGTTTCGACCAAACTCGCGAGGAAAACGCAAATTTGCAAACTCGAAGAGCGAAAATGCAACACCATATCGAGTATGTAAATGGTTACGAAAAGAGCACGGCAAAGGTTTTGGCGTACCACCCGTTATACGAGAAGGAAACAAGAAGGTTATTCCTCCCAGTCAGGTCAGGCCGTCTATTTCAAGCTTGGGGCAATTCGCCAAACTTATGTTAATTGTACGAATTATTATTTCTAGAGCTCGACCAATTGTGCATGGTACCATATTATTCTTATCCGGGTTGTACGAAGCTACTCGCCATCTAATTACTTTCTCCCAGCATACTATTTTTCTGAACGTACTTATGAAAAATGATTACAAGCTGAAACAATTTCTTACATAGTTGCTCAGTTATTAAATTACTCACTGAATCAACACTAAATCTACCAAATTGACTGTTTTAAATTTCCATACACCTAACTACTGTTCATGTTTAACTTTATTTTCAAGTTTGTAATTGAAATTATATAAAAATTTGGCGTCGTCTTTTATGAAAGTTAATTCATTCAGGGACAAACTGACTGTCATCTACGTTTAGTCACAAAAGCTGTAACTTCTTTCAAGGATCGACCATTTTGACCAGACACAGTAGGAACTATATGACATATCGGTAGGTTTAGTGTTCAAATTTTTGTAAAACCATTTTATTATTGTAGATTCTTAATGCATCATCTTCGAGTGCTTATCATACGTACTACACGCATTAGCTGTTTTTCGTTCGTTATTCCGGCTACCGGCCGTGTAACCGTTATCAGAGTTCAGCAATAAAACGCACTGTGACGCGATTCTATCTCGACCGAACGGGCATTCCGGCGTTGCGCAGGGCGACGCAGCGGCCGATGAACGGCGACGCATAAATCTGTCGCGAAAAAAGAAGTCGGGGTCCCCGCCTGCCGGTTCCCGATTTCGATCGGTAATTTTACTTTGAGAGCGGCTCGGGGCTTAAACCGTCGAGGTTCGATTGTTCCGCGACCTCGTGAAAGAACGTACGACGCGACGTTTCCGGCACACGCTCAAGCCCGTTCACCGATCGACTTCGATCGATCGTCGCGCGGTTAACGGTGCCGTGGACAAATGCGGTCCGATCACAAGAATCGAAAGGGAACTGATTGGACACACCGATTCGCCATTTCCAGGGTGACACTGGCGCCTACCGATCCAGATCTAACGTTGGCATCGCCGGGGGTACTTTCGGAAGAACGACCGCGTCGACGACCGCCGGTCTCCCCAGTTGCAGGAACAGCTACTCGATTGGTTCCGCTTCCGGCCGAGCCGCTGCCAAGGACCGAGTTTCCGGTTATGGGAATGCGTTCCTGAGAAAAGACAAACCCGAAGAGAAACCTACCTTCAAATATTCCAGTGAGTGCATTTCTTTATACGTTTGATATATAAATGTGTACATAGATATATGCATGTATACTGAATAATATCTGATAAGTTGGTACACGAATCCAATTAGTGGCCGAAAGATGCAAGTATCAATTTATCCGACACGTACAGTATATACATAATGTTAGATTTAGTAGTCGTGCAATATATATATACGCATATCTATAAAAGCGTCATATATTACAAGTACATTTGTTAAACATAGTATATTTACGGTACAATTAATATTTTACGCATACAAATATGAATATCGGTACGTAATTTTATATTAGAAAATAGATTTAAAGAATCTACATATTTGTTTCAGGTAGCAAAGATCCGGAGAAGAGCAAGCTGCATCCGAGCAGATCGTCGACGGAGGACATAGGAGCGAAGAGCCCGCTATCGAGTAGCAGATCCTCCCTGTTCGAGAAGTACTCGTATCCAGCTGCTAAAACTTCGGATAGACCCGGCTCCGTCTTGGACAGATATAACCGTGCCGCTTCCCGCGAAAAGAGCAGAGAGCCGGACGGAGTATCGCGTTACGGGTCCAACACGTATCCCGGATCAGGTCTGCCGCGGACCCATGGAAACGAGAGTAGAATCGAGAAGAAAGAGAGAGCTGATTATCCGCCGGTCGCGTACCGCGGACTACGTTCGAACTCCGGTAGGAGTTCTCGCGAGCCTAGTCCGGAAGTCAACGTCGGGAAAACAAACTCCTTCAGATATTCTCGGGCCCCCTCCTACGGTCGATCCAGCGCCAATTCTAGTAAGTAAATTCTGAACGTTTCTAAACATGATTTTTATCACATCATTATCAACAATCTATAAAGAGAAAAAGAACTGCTGTACTTGCAATATCATTGATACGAAGAAAAATAATGTATCGTAAAAAGAAATATTCAGTTGTTCTTATTTTTGATGGAAACATGGATTTTTTTCATGTTTTGCTCACTATATTATAAGATATAAGATTTCATAATTACGCAAGAATGAGTGCAACTGAATTTGAAGGGTTAATGTTATTAGTTGGGGCAAATATTTTTAAGCAATACCATATTAGAGAACCTGCTGCTGCTGAGCGTTTGTTAATGACATTAAGATGGAGATACTACGATTACCAATATTACTGTTAACAAATGTAAAGCAATATGAAATAATTTAGAATTACTTGATAGTATGTATGTATATGTCATACACACATGAAAATAAACCGAGAGGCCAAACAGCAGACTTGAAACAAAGCGATTGTGTGAAATAAAATGAATGGAGGACTAGCTTTTTTCTATCGGCATATGAGGGGGCGGAACTTGACAAATATTTTTTATTGTAATACCATAAAAAGATTGAACAAAAAGTTTCGTATAATTGCGTGCAACTTCATAATTTATATACAATTTATTTACTGCGGAAGTTAGACAGGATTCAATTTCTGAATTTAGAAATACAGTTACGTGAAACGCGATACTGGTAGGTAATAGTTGCGTTGTACCCGGGAGGATCGTAAAATAGTATACGTAGCACTTCACATGATATTTACAGCTATAAAGTTGCGCTTGCAGGCAAGGTGCTTCGCGCAAAACGGTGCCGTAATTTATACTAAATCAATTTGTGGAAGAGCAACCTCCATAGAATACTTCAGAACTTTAATTTTCATAACTTTCTATAAATCTATTAATAAAAATACTTTACCAAGGTAATAATAATAAATCTAAATAATAAAGAGAATCTGAAAATTCTGAAATATTTCCAGGTGCATCCGAATCAAGCTCGGCACCGATCTCCTCGAGATTCGGCTCACCAGCCGGTAGCAGGTTTATCTCATCGAGAAGTAGTAGTGATCGAGTTCCGACGGGCATAAGCTACTCCGGATCGGACAGGTTCCGATCTGCAGGTAGTAAGTCTATGCCAGCGAAGGACGAGACTGCCGTGAAATCGAAATTGGAAAAGAACGCCAGCCCTGAGACGCGTACGAATCCCGTGAAACCTAATGAATCAGAAGTCGAAGATACCGTTACGATGGTTACAAGAGGCACGTCTCCGAACCCACCGGCGTCTTCATCCTTTGTAAGAAACAGAAGAGCTGACATAGGTATCGCGAGTCAAAAAGAAGTTACGCGAGTACGAAAGAAAATGGAAACCAAGGATCAGGAGAATCAGTGCGACAGGGCTGAGGAAGGTACGAGGTTTTCACGATTCGGGGGTGGTGGACGAATCTCGGGGGCACCGTGGTCCACGTATTTAGACAAGTTCTCGTCGAATTCGAGCGGAAGTGGGATGTACGCGAGAGGTTTCAACGCGGGCAGCGCAACGAATTCCAGGGTAAACAGTTTCGCGTTCTCTAGGTCAAACGATTCCTCGAGGAACGATTCGAAGGTGTCGTCTAATTCTAGTCAAGAAATTCATAGCAATAGGAATCGGGAAGAGCAGAGCACCAAAGTGTTCGGTGGTTTGGGTGACGGTAAGAATAGTACCGATGCCTCGACCGCGAAAACAGATTCAAAAGGGTCTGCGAATAATGGGCTAAATAATACGAATCAACAAGAGATCATAGTACAAAATAGCGACAATGATACGTGCGCTGGTGGAAAGGCGGAAGGGAAGGAAAGTCGACTGGTGAGTTCTTCGATTCTGAAGAGGGACGAGACACCGCAGCGAGTTGGAACTGCCACCAAGTCAGACTCTCGAGAAAGCATTTCGAAATGTGAAGATCAACACAGTAGTAGGGAGAGCTCGCTGTCGAAAAGTGAGAGCAGCGGCCATAGGAGGCCGTCGATACCGAGATTAGGTCGTATAGCCACGAAGAACGAAAGTAAGTTCGCGAAGTCGTCATCGACGTCATCAATCAAGTCCGACGGATTACAGGAGAGAAGAGGTTCGACGCCTAAGTCTGATAGCAGTTCATTGTCGAAGCCTGATGAATCCTCTCGAATAGTTGAAGGTTACTGTCAGGAACAGAATGAGGAAGCCTCTTCCTCTGCGAAGAGCGATAACGTGTCGTCTGCAAAAGAATCTTTCAAAAGGTAGTTACTATTATTGTAGTTCATGAACTCAAATATTTTTATGCAAATACACCCTTAATTGTATTTGATTTCCGTAGTGTTTCTAATATTAACCATGTTCTATGTCCATATCGTATATATACTTCACACGTTTAAAAATTACTTGAACACTCAGGGTGATTCCCCTACTATGTATAAACGATGTTTTACAACACTACCTACACACAATTGACGCAAATGACCAAAACAAATGTAATATACTAGCCAAATGATGAAATCTATTTTTACTAACATTGAATCATTGATTAATCCCACACAGTTAGACTAATTCTACAGTACGATCATAAGTAATCTTTCATTACATATTGTTTCGTATCTTTTGGTTGTATAGTAGTCCAATTCATAGCCGGTCGACAACACCACAATTACGGAGCGGTTCTACGAAAAATCTTGCCCGTCAAATGACGCGGACCGACTCGTCAGACGGTTCCGCTGTAAATGTGCCAATTGGCAAATCGAAATCGTCGTCAGCCAGTTCGACGACGAGTCAGGGGGCAAAAATAAAGTCAACACCGCCACCGTCGTCAGGGAAGTCGACTTGCTCGAGCGCGTCCTCAGTGAATCTGAGGCAGGGCGGTTCACCGGACGCTCGTGGCAAACCACCTGTGCCGAAAAACGACGCTGCGGCGGGATCCATGTCGAAAGGCATCGTACCAGTCAAGTACGTGAACAAGGATTTCCGGAAGTCGACGTTGAACATGGAGAACGGTGATCCGTCGCAGTCGAAGTACAGTAGGAAGAAAAAGAATCAACAGAGGAGTGTATCCGTCAGCTCTCAAGATTCGCAATCCGAACCGAACTCTGAACCGGGCATTCATCGATCGGCCCTCCAGTCGGAATTGAGTTCCGGCTCCGTGAAATCGAACAGATCCAGGTTGAGAATACCATCCAGCGCGTCGTCGAGGAGTTTGAATAGAAGAAGCGAGTCGAACGGATCTTCAAGGCCTGAGAGATCCAAGAGTCACTCGAAATCACCTTCCGGCAGGAGAAGCAGGGAAGATGGAAGCTCGAGTTCTAGCGAGAACAGCGAATCGAATTCTTCGAACTCGTCGAGCAGCGACGAGGAGGATGACAATAAGCAAAAGAGATCGGGATTGAGGCGCCGTAAAAAACGAACGACCAAATCCCCTTTCTGCGAGAGGAAGGGTAAAATGAGCGCGGGATCATCGAAAACGAGCGTGTTAGCGTCGTCCGCCGACGAGATGTCTTTGACGACGGACAAACCGCCGAGACCGCCCTCGAGTCCGAGATCGAGGAGCGACCGTTCTGGAAAAACAGAGGAGGCGAAATCTTTCTTGATGCGGGCTCTCGCGCCGGTGACAAATCTTTTTAAGAACAAGCATCAAGACTCCAGCGAATCCGGTAAATCAGGTGGTGGTTGGCTGGATTCCAATGAGGAGAGCACAGACGCGAAGAAGTCGGAACAGAACGGGACCGCGTCTCTGACGAAGAGTTTCAGTATTACGAACTCGGAGAATAACGACGACAGAAGCAAGCAAACTTCGACGAGGATTAGGCGAAACTATTCCGGGGACAAGCCTTGGTGGATGGATCCGAACCCCGACAACGTCCCAGAAGGCGTCGAAACGGGCAGCGCGTACAACGACGACATCAGTCAAGAAACGACCGTCAGTGGCACTTTACCTGACGACGGTGAGTCAACGCTTCTAGTTTCTTTGTATCTGTCAACGGTTGCTTTTATCTCATGAGTTTCGATGACAGATTAAATAGTATTTTGTATACACGTGGGATCTGCGGTTGTTATCTTGAATTTATCAAAAATACAGTTTGAGTAAGATTTACAATTCGAAAAAGAATTATCTAGATAAATCGTAAGCCTACATTAGCAAGATTCAATGAATAATGACGTGTTTTAAACTATTTATCCAAATATATTGTACTACTTGCTTAACTATGATGACGAGGAAGATATAAATTAATAAGATCCGATTAGATAAACAATTTTCTTAATTGTTTGTTCGTAGGCAAATTTAAATATAAAATTTGGCGACAAGAATCCGAAGAACGTGCTTGGTGGCTAGATTCGAACGATAGCGGGGCTTCGGAAGACACGAGAAAACAATCAGTGACCAATGCTAGGCATGAATCAGGGGAGAAGAGTTGGTGGTTAGATTCCAATGACAGTGCGCTATTGGAGGAGAAGAGACCGTCATCGTCGTCGCTTTCGAGGCACGAATCGGGAGACAGAAATCGTTGGTTGAGAGATAGCGATAACGTCCTTTCAGAAGATGCAAAGAAATCGTCACCTTCAGTCTGGAGGCAAGATTCGGGCGAGAAAGCTTGGTGGTTGGATACAAATGACAATACACCGTCGGAAGAATCAAAGATGCAATCGTCCGTGAGTTCTCCCGCTTCGAAACGAGAAACGAGTCGATGCAGTACTCGTTCCAGCGAGCGTAGAAATCGGATCAAGCATCAGCAATCAGGGGAACGAGCATGGTGGATGAGCGACAACCCTGAAAACGTACCTGAAGGAGTCGAAATCATTCCTACGGCAATTCCTACGCAAGGCGGCAATAATTTCAATAACAACGAGGTGGACGATTGCCAGACGTACAGTTCGAGCGTGAACAAACTTAGGCACATCGAATCCGGCGAGAGGCCATGGTGGATGGATAGTTCGTCGAACGTACCCGACGGCGTTGTCAAGATTCCCGTCGACACGTCGAATAGCAACTCGGACTCGTCAGAGTCGTTCGAGAGGATCGATATTGGCGTCAACCCTGAACTTGAGATGTACGCGAAGAGAAGCCTCTCTAGATTCCCGATCGAGTTTCCGCCACCTCCGCCCGACGAACCACTTGGGGATCGCGCCAGTCCCGAAGGGGTAAAGTGATCGTATATCACGCATTATTCACTTAACGACCCTTAACTGATGAGATTATAACGCGATGCAACGCGACGATGCGACGTTGTCAATTTTTTATCCCTCTTGCATCTCAGCGATGACGAAATAAATTTGCTAACGTGATAAAGTTCTAGACTTTTAAATAAGAGAAATAATTAATTAATAGTCAATTCATGTGCATAAGTTTATTCGTCAACTGTAACTGTTATTTTGAAAGATAATTTCCCAGTAGAAGAAAATATTTAAATTCTACATATGTATGTTAATTCGTTTCAACGTTCTCTACTTTAAGAGATCTTGTACCTCTTCCAGGTAGAAAATCCGCCGGATCCACCGGACAATTATGGTGGTCGCGACTCGCCTTACGATAACGTGCAGACGATACCCCGAAGATCGTCGCCAAGGAAACGACCCTCCGCATTACCGTTGTTCATCGGCGAGCACACAAACATCGACGACTTGCTAGGCGACTCGACTACCCTATATCCCAGCCCCGTCTTGTCTCGCATCCGTAAACGTGAACGCATCGAGGAGGGTGAGTTTTCCGAACGAATTTAACGCGATTTACAATCGACCACGGACGCGCGAACGCTCACGTTACTGGAATTACTGATTGTGTGTGTCGAATACGACTGGTGTCGGATTTAGAATACATAGCTTGTGACTCGGCACGTTAACGAGAGGACAGTATTCCTTTGAAGGGAATCAAGGGGATCCTTCCTTTCAGGAATTGTCGTATGCATCGATGGTCGGGTGCCGAATCGTACATACGCTATTGAAAAGGGGAGCTGATACGATTATAATAGGGAGCAACGCGTGTGAACAGATTTTGCCGAATGTAATTTCCTTAACGATAGAAAATTTATGTTAGAGGGTTGCGAGCTATAATGAAACGTGGCCGTGAATAGTGGATCGTTGGATACGCTAGAAAATAATTTAGAAACGATTTATTACCTTATGTTCATATCATTGTCGTGTTCAGGTTCGGAAGATGAAAGTTCGGAGTGCGAGGAAATCGACGCCACTCAGGTGATCATCCACGACAGTACGCCGCAGACACCGGTGATACAACGACGTCATCAGTACGTTTCATATCGTTATCATTAATAATCGATCGTGAATTCCGAAACAATTGATTGTTGATTGTAATTAAGTAATTTTCTTCAGGGACAATGAGAGACCTCAACCTGATGGCTACATTCCGGTAAGTCTTTATTTGAAAGCTTTCTTTGTGCTGTAGACATCTTCAATCCTTCGAATATCAAGCCCCGTTAAGTTACTATCCAGTGCCTAAATAATTGAAAGATGTGGCTTTTCACGATTTGAGAGACATGTAGAAATATTTGTTTTTTTTTTTAACATTTCATCGTCTATTGATACCGCGTGGAAAAATAGACAGGCAGCTAAACTTTCTTCTGTAGTTTTCCACCACGCACTGGCCAAACGTGGCTGATCCTTCGCGCTCGCTATTGTCTGAAACTCTTTTCATGATCAGTGGGTGAAGGAAACCAGTGTATAGGTGACGGTATATGGGAAGACGCGTACTCGAAAAAAAGCTAGACGAACAAAGACGGGAGGGGGTTAGATGAGGCAACTAGGAAGAGTGGTAGTGTGCGCGACATTATTGTTTCTTATGAGGGATGCGCGAAGAGAGACCCTTCTTTACTGCAGACTCCCTTTTCTCTCCCCTTCTTTTTCCACTTCCGTTCTGTACGCAAAGTGCTGGCAACAAGGGAGCCTTCCTTTCATGCCATTTTCCCTTCGTTCGTAAGTTTTCTGATTCACGTCGGCAGCAGACACTTACACAAATACATGTAAAAATGTTAAGAGACTAACCAATTAATGAAATGAACTACAACTAATGAACACTTAGCCTCAACCTTAACTACTGCTGTCCGAGAAACATGAAAAGACGTTTCTTTTCCGATGTAGACACCTATTAGGAAAAGGTTTCCCAGAATTTTACCCCTAACATGTATTTTTACAAAAATAGACCAATTACCAAATCTAAGAGAATCACTAGTAACTTATATGGATATGGAAAGAGAAGGGAGTTTCGGTTTACGACAATAACAAAAGAGATGACAACTGCATAAAATAATAGCAACATAGACGAAAAATATTTTTATCGTCCGCAATCGTAGAGTCACTCATATTTTCTGGAAGCGCTGTATAGAATTTTATCGCTGCGGCAACACCTCGCACGAGGTACCACCCATTACGATTCTATGGGACCAGCAGCCCCTTTTGTGAGCTTGTCACCCTCGTGGGGTCTCGTAGTAGCGAGACAACAATGAGCACAGCCGCACTTACGGTTATGCTCTACACGCTGCGTCAGCTGATTATTTTTTCACCGCACAATTACCATCCCTGCTGTTTCATTTGGTTCCCCGTAACGGATTCTGTCTTTCTCTTTCCTCTGTTTTCATCCGGGAAAACCGACGAGACGGCCATCATCTGTGTACTTTGGCTATCTTCTCGGAGAATTGAAAAAGAGAGAAGTGTTGGAGCATTTCGAAAGAATTCGATGAACAATGAATCATTTCGGGGTACTGGACGAAGTTTGTTCGAAGACAATAATTGTTTTCTAACCAGATACAGAAGAACAAGTTTTTACAACGTATTTGTGTAGCTGTAGTTCAGGACGTCGTTGGTACAAGAGAAAATAAAGTATATTTTCTAATTTCTTTTCTCACGACGGCCTTAGATTATCTTTTAAAATTTATCAGTCTAGTTTGGTTTCTCTTCATATGGTTAGTTAACAAACTAATTTACTTTAAGGGAAAATAATTTTACAGAAAAAAATACACGCGAATTTTCACCAAATTATGTTTTTAAATAGTCCCGACCTCACTTTATAATGTCTGTAAAAGACGTACATATAAATAAGTTCCTGTCTACGAAACTATTAATACAAATTATTGGCAAATTCATTTAGAAAAATAAATGTGTGCACTTAGGTTTTATTTTAAATAGGAAGATACGGAGTTAATCTATCGTAGCAAATAAGGTGCTGATAAGATTCTCAAATTTCCTTTGATAAAAATATTGCCTAACAGATAGAACAACATTAATCCATTAGCTGAAGAGAAAGTGGCCTTGAAGCATTCTCAACGGTATTAATCTTTTGAAGTATTCTCAGTCAGAAAAAGCGAGACGAACAGCAATTATTGACATAGTAGTGAATTTGAAAGAAACTAATTTTAATTCAATCAGCCAGTCAGCTTGTCATAAAATCAGCTTAAAAGTATGAAATACGTATGTATTATTTTTCTTGTCATCTGGGGTGCTCTTTGTACATTTGTACACCGGATAAGAATAGGGAGGGGGTTAACCGCGTGGCGGCGCCACCGTCGGCTTAACGGCGACAGGTGTTCGCGACGTTCAGTGTCGCGGCGGCCGCTCGCGAGTTAAGGCACGTTGTTGGTTGTGTATTTTTTCATTGCGCGTTCTCTCTCTCTCCCTCCTGGTTTCACGGTATCGATCGCGGTATTTTTCGCTCGCGCGCGATCGTTCGGTGTGTGCATTTTGACGAGTGTCGGCATTAAATCGCGGCCGCGAGCAAAAGTGAGTGACGCGCGTTTCCGTGCGCGGGAAGCGCGCGTGTCGTTCGCGCTCACTCGAATCGAGTTTTTGTCGCGCAGACTCCGGTTACATTTACCATATATATGTATACGTTTCGTCCTTCGTGCACACCGGGTTCCTGGTTCGAAAACGACGCGAGGATCGTATCAAAGCCGAGGCTGGTCCATCGAATCGAGGGATGCCGTTCGATGATTGACCGGCCTGCGCCACAGGTAACGTGAAATTTGATCTGTCAATAGGATGTACGTTTGAAATTGACATTGCTGACGAACTATTACCTGGAGCACTTGCACGCGCCGGTATTAACGAACGAAAATTCTTTGTGTGCCGCAAAGACGTTCGAATCGATAATTTTGTGGAATGTCGAATATCTCGAAACCTCGACTGGTTCGGGCGGTCTACTCGACCGTGTTATTTACTTTAGAGGTTAGGCTAGTTATACAGTAATAGGTCCTGGTCTTTTTTCTAGCGTTCGCCTTTGTCACCATACTTTTCTCTTGTTATCCTTGTCTACATAAAGGTCTTTCAGTAGATTCTACGGACGGTTAACTATCATGATTCGACATAAGAAACGCATGAATACTTTTATATCCTTCTTCGCTAAAACTCTGAATTTCCATTCTAATTGAGAATGACGCTACAGAAATTATATCAAGGTTCATTTCGAATCCATGAATGAACGACTTTCAATCAAATTACTTCGAAAACAATCGGCCGGAGCTCGCATCGCTTACTACTTCGTTTCTGAGAATTGTAAAACATGATTTCTCAAGCGAGATTCTACGGCCTGAGGTGATTTACGTATCGTAATTGAAAAGTCCATTCACGTATAAAAAGCGATCAGGGAAAGTAACGAAGCGGCATCGGGATTGAATTATTTTCGATGCTGACATTCCGCGAGCGAAAACGTTGGCATCGGTTGTATCCTCGCTGTTTCCGCACTAGAACATCGGTCAACGATAGATTCGTCGATTCAGACGAGTTTGGAAATCCTCTTAGGCACGATCTTATGTTACGATTGCATCTTGATCGTGAATCTTTCGTCTGCTACAGGCACGATTACATTCGTGCCACGGCGCAGACTCGTTTTCCCTTCTGTCTCCCTCCCCCTCATTTCCTTTTATCCTTCACGTCATTTTACCCTTCTTTCTCCTTCCTTTCCTTCCTGTCGCTTCTATCCTCGTTCGTATTCTCCTCTTTCAACCAATGTCTCATTCTCTCGCTTGTTCGCCCTCGCTATTTCGCTTCTTATTCTTTATTCTCCATCTCTCTCGCTTTTTCTCTGCTGCGAGCAGCATCGAGCCGGTTCACAGAAGAGCTAGTCGTAGCCCATGCAATGGATGCAACCGGCAAGAACAATGCGAATACGAGAGGATGACAAGACCGGCTGGCATGCGTGGATAATTGACACTTCGTAAATTCATTCCAGTCCATCTCCAGTCACCTGAATCTATCTTGAACAATCGATAGGCAGAATATCAATCTCCTACTGACAAACGCGAGAATCGATATTGTTTCCGCGATTTTCTAGACGCCGAGTAAATATAACGCAATTTTGAAAGAGTCGTTGATCATCGTGTGTATGTACAGATATTTTGTATCATACGCCGAACGGAAGGTCAATGTTCATGTAATTTTCGTAAAAGAAATAGCTTTCGCGTGATAGATACCATATACAGTAGAGTCTCCATTATATGTACTAATTGGAGTTTAAGTATATATATCGTCCTTCTCAACAAAGTTAAAGGAATTCATTGTGTATGTATATGATAAGCTCTAAAACTAGTATATTTACATAAAGTGTTGTCATAGGGAACATACAATACGTATACTGTAGTAGGTAATGTACTATGTATAAGTAGTATACCATGTACTGTTCATATAACAGAATGTTCTCATAATGAAGATTCTACTGTGCAATTAGTCAAGGATGTCTGTTTTTAAATTTGAAACATTAAAAAAGTAAAAGCTTTTATGGGTACATGCGTTTTTAAAATTTAAATGAATGTACTGATAAATGTATAATTCCTGTTTTTCTAAATTGCTAATCTCTTCCTCGAATGTTGCTAAGAAAATGAACATAGTGGTGAATAAGTAATTTGCTTTTTAATCTCGTTGGCGAGGAGGGAGAAAACGGCTGGCGGTATGTCAGACCGTTCGTAACCTTGAGGATAAATGAAAATTACCTCTTCCGATTTTTCCACTTTCGGCTGAGAAGCCGACAAACGAGTGAAAGGAAAATCTAAAGGTCATCGACCGGTTGAAAACGACGCGGTTTCTGATTTACGTGGCCGTTAGAAGTCAAAGGTTGTTACAGTTTCAGCATTGTCATTTTCATACGTACAGATCATGAATGTGCATGTAAATATTAATAGACGTTTGCTCCGTTTTCAAGGTGCTAGCCTGGTCACGTGACTCTTCTAACATTTGTCGGTTCATTTCTGACGTTCACTGCTCCATTTTACCGATAAATCGGTAAGAATAGTACAAAATATGAATCTAAAAAGATTTTTCAATATAAGAGCGAGAAGTCGATTTTTTAAACCCATACTTTGCACTATTTTTGCCGGGTTATTCGTAAAACAGAGAAAAATACATCAAAAATTGACTAATAAATGTTAGAAAATTCATGTGACTATCCTAGCCCCTTAAACATTCTTACATCTACGAATGTTCATTTCTATGAAGGAGCACAATATACTTTTAATTGTTTGCACGTTAACGAGATTCACGTTACCAATAAAAAATGCAATTTCCAGATACACGTTTCGAACTGATTGATCGATGGAAGAGCGCGAAAAGCGTCGGAGACAGAGTAGCGCCGCTTTCCTTTCCCGTCACGAATCGTCGTCGTTCCTTTGACAAAAATAAATCGACAGTTTTCCACGGTAGCTCGCGCCTTTCTTTCTTCGTCGTCTTTCTTTTATTCTCACAAAACGAACAAACTCACGAACATACCTTACGCGAGAAGCAGCCGGAGTCGAAGCTGAGAGCAGAGAAGGAGAATATCAGTTCACCGCGATCAAGGTATTCACGTGAGCCTCTGTTTCGTCGTCGTGCCGGTAGACGCGAATGGAACGTGTGGAGGAAGAAAGGGACGCGGGGAAAAGGAACAGTGGGTCGGTGGAGACAGAGCGAGAACGCGAGAACGAGAGCAGCGAGGTTCGTTTTCTCGGTTGGTTGTAGCCGGCGAGTCGAATGAAAATAAATCGGCGTTACGACGAACTGGTTCGTGCGTTCGCGTAAAGCCGTCGTGCGGTTCGGTGAAACAGAGACACGTCGCGACGCGACACGGCACGAGAAGAAAGAGGGGAATAGAGAAAGGACCGCGTGGTATCGGTACACGAGTGAGAAAGAGAGAAGCCAAGGGAAAGGGTCTCGCGACGCGAAACGAACCTTCGCGCGCTGCCCTTCTTTGGGATCGTGGAAAAAAGGCCCTATTGGACAACGATCGGCCGGTTACGCTTGAGATACAGAGGGGTCACGAAATGTCTCTGACGTGCCGAGTGCAGTATCTGAATGACATCGATCCGTTCGCTTATGCGAGCTCCTACCCGGAGCCACCTAGACCGCCTGTGCACACCTTCAGCGCGACCTTGCCACTAATTAACCAGCTCGCAGCGGTGCATCGACTTCTACGGGCGCCTCATAGGGTGAGTCTTATACTCTCATCTTTCTCGCTCCGGAACGCGTCGCGTTGTTCCCTTTCTTTTAATTCATCGTTTATCGAGAGATCGAGAGCGAGGGCGAATTAATGCCCCATCAGCGGCCCTCGTCGGCGCCGCTGTGCGCGATCTACCGCGAAAGTATAATTCATACGATTTTTTTGCGAACCGCTAACGATGTGCTTGATTGCTTAAAAATCGGCATTTCTCGGTCGCTACTTCTTTTTATTTTTATCTTTTTCTCCGTTTGCTTTGATGAATCTTGTGTGCTCACATTGGATGTTAGATGTAATGAAAGGGATTTCAACAACCTGCGTTGGTCGGTCAGAGCGGTTGATGAAGGATCCAATATTCGTGTATTACTTATTGATGATCATGCAGTATCATTGGAACTTTGACCATTTCATGCGATGTTTTCAGTGTACATAAATTAATACCGACGAGATGAAGGTGTTTAAACAAATGTTTCACGATAATGGAAAGATATAGTGCGACCGCTTGCATGCTAATGTGAAGAGGTCCACGTCTATAGCAAAACTTTTCTCGAGGGGAAATTTTTCTCTTCGTCAGCATTCTCATTTACTTAATATACCCAATTACCACATCGCGAATTCTTGTTACATATATTTTCCTTCCAATGATTTTAATTTCCCTTTTAATCTTCCGTCTCTCCCGTTCATCATTCTCGTAGTTTTTATCACAAGAATCATATTTTACATGTAACGTTACACTGCTATTAAAACACACTCTTATTTAGTATTGTTTGTTTCAACTCCAATCGAGCGTATTTGAAGCAAGGTACACAGATCAATCGCAAATGAGTAGTTAAAATCATTACCTCGAGGAACGGTTCGATTAATTTTCGATCAGCGAACCATTAAGTGAACTACCCGTCCTGATACTTCTAGCAAACTAGCACTACGTATCGTTCGGTGTTACGCCAATAGATGATCTCAGACGATCGGTGAAATTATATCGAGTCGGTAAAACGAGGGTGGCACGGCGCGATAAATTACGTTCGCCGGAGAAAAATGTATGGAAATCGTGGCCGAATGCTCGGAGCATTTGCCGAACTTCACCTTGGCCCGAGTAATTCTTCAAAATTTATTGTTAGTCGTTCGTCGATATCGAGGGATCGGTTCCACGCTTCTCAAAGTCGTCTGGTCGGCCAACTATTATAAATCGATGTTATTAAGCATCTAACCAATGGGGAAATATATGCTTGCCGTATTACGACAGGACGTAGAGGAAAGTCTCGGAGGGTGAGGATTATAAATTGTGTACGCGTAACTATATTCGTTAATGGCCAGGAGATCTCCGCCGGTTGTCGTACCTCGTACCTCGTGCTCATTGCAAGACGTGGTTGCGTACGACTACGCGGCTGCGCGGTGTTCGCGACCTGACACATTTTACGTGTTTCATTCATTGGAACGCGCGAGCGTGCTTTGCATAAATTCGAATGGCGCGTTCACCAACACTTACAGATATCCGGATGTTTCGTATGTGAACTAATGATACCTCGATTACTAGGCATCGTATTGATGTTTATGGATATGTAGTAAGTTAAAATAATTTAATCATTTTGAAAAAGAAACAGGAATTAAAATAGATGAGTAGAATATTTCGGGTCTAGGAAATACCCTAGATTTAATTGTAAGTTTCAATTTTATGAAGAGGTACTTAACGACCTGAATACTTTTTGATATAAGAACGAAAAGTCTCGCAGATACGGAGTTTGTCCTTCAATACATAATGAAGTAGTATAATAAATGATGCAGTTTCAGAAAATTTAAGTTGTCAAAGCAGTAAGTGAAAAGTCTTTGTGAAAAATATTCGACATTTGATGAAGATTGCTTAGTTTTTAACATTATTTAAGTCTTTCAGTTTCCGAGTCTTAGCAACTTAAGTCATTACTTTAAACTATGAATTTGACAAGAATTTTTGACACGTTGTTCCGAGAATGGATTAAAATTGCATAGAATCCAGTTTCTAAGAGATTCCAGTGCTCCAAGGTTGGTTAAGAGGTTGCTCATTGTCATCGTAGAACTCGTTAGTAGCTCGTTACACGGTGTTGGTTGTCAAAATGATGCTTGGAACCGAGCTCGTGAAAGGTCCGGGTCTGTCGCGTCGCGGTTTTACGATCGTGTCCAGATAGCTTTGTCCACGTGACACCTCTGTGGTGTTTTGCTTTGACACACTGACGCGCTTCATTCACCTAATCGTGCACACGTGCTTTGTGTAAACTACACGCCGGGATACGTAATCTTATTCACGTACATACATATGTGCATACATATGTGCATTGTGCACGCGTGACCATCTGGTGCGTAGTCCAAAACAGGGGAAAACACACGTCGGTCAATGAACAATAGACGAAGTTGGGACGGGAAGGAAACTTAATGAGAGAATATGAGGAGTAGAATAATGGAACAAATCTTTTTGTCAGATCGATGTCAAGCCTAAATACTTAATCCATAGTCATGTTCCGGTTTAAGATTCGGAATTCTTAAGAAAATTAGTCGCCCAAATTTAAAATGGGATAAAATTTTTTACTCGATCGTTGTGTTCGATCGAAAAGTTCTCATAAAATGTTCGGGACTGCTTCACGAAATGTACGTACTGAATCCGATCAAAGTTGGACTAAATTTGTGAAGTGGTTGAATTCCCGCTGCGCAGAAGCGCAGCAAGCGTGCACGTGGCGTTCCTTTGTTCCGTGGCACCGTTTCTGGAACAGCCCTTTGGCCGCAACTATTCTCACGGAGGTCTCGGGTGCACGCTTAAATACGATTACTGCAGTGTCGCTGAAACCTCGACCGGTCGACCGGCCGGCCGGCCACCTTCGTGACTGCACCACTTTGACCCAATTGCGTCGCCGTGTCGCAACGTCGAAACAACACGCGGCTCTGGCAACGGAGTTGAGTCGGTCGGCTGGTCGGTCGATCGCGCGCTATTCCTTCCGCATTCAACGACGACCTGTCTCTATCTCGAGCTCCGATCCGTAACCGGCTCACTGATCATATTTACTGCGTTTCGACATTCTGTCCTCAGCGTTCTCCGATTTTACGCTGTTGGTACAATATGTGTGATAGACACTTCAATAAGGACGCAGGCTGGAGGATATGTTAGAACTAGAATTGCTGAATAATCCTGCTATAATATTTTAACTTGCATTTTAATTGCACTACGTACTCGTGTGTTTCAATGTATGTTAATAGCCTTCTTCGTCTTAACGCAGAGATTTGTCAAAAGGTTTTATTCAAACTGGTTTTATACGTAACTCTAATACGACTCTAATAGATAATCTTCATTGACAATGACTGATTATCAATACTCTGACAAATGCAATGCCTTCCTCTTAGTTAACAATTATTTTCCGTTTATTGTTTTCTTCCCGCAACGATACGTTCGGGCAGATTCTATCAAGAAGAAATTACGATGCGGTTAATTTTAAAGCCGTTTTGGACGCGGCCCGGTGCTTCTGAAAGATTTGACCGTTCCGCAAGATGCTGGACGGTTCTCTTTGGATCCTCGTTCGCCGACATAACGGGACCGGGGAGCGTTACTCTCACGGAAAAGGAATAAAAAGTACGTTTATGGTCCCGGCATTATAGTAGGTATACCTATAGGGTATAGCGCGATTGTGTACCGGTTGTGTATCTCGCGGACGTTGCCAGTCCTCTCTCCTCCATGTGTATAGAACTCTTTTACTTGTTCTCCGCTGCGGTTAAATTCGGCCTCGCCCTTTGCAAAGGCATCCTTGACGCAGCTTTGCGATGCATTTAAAGTGGACCGGTTCGGCCATGGCAAAAAATTCGATTCATTCGAACTTCTTTCAAACGAATTCGAAATGAGATCGAAAGAGAGGAAGTTGAATGTATACGCTTTGAATCCTACTCGAATTTTTTGCGCCAGCTCGTATCAGAAGTATTTACAGGTAACATTGGATGTGTGTGATTCTAATCGTGTAGTATCGAAAGTATTTTTCGTTTTTGATATGGATACCACTTAATAAAGAATGAGGCTCTGGTATTAAAAAATCGACACTTTTTGGGACTCGGCTCACGCTTTTGATGTTTCAAGATTCTAAGCTTGTCATTTTGTTACTATAGGAGTACGTTTATTTATTTAACAATGGATTATTAAATTGTCGCAATAGATAACTACGCATAAATGTGGGTAAACTAATGCTCTTCAATGTATACAGATTAAGCAGTTAGTAGACTATACCAACGGTGTACGTGAAATATACATACATATATCTAACTCATTGTTATTTGGTCTCACATACGTTGCTCGACGTATTTGGTGGAAAATACAATGAGCCGGCTGTACATATAATCTACATAGGAAGTATATACATACTACTCGAACTGCCTTTTATATTATTTGACGTTCTGTTACATAAGAATCCTCTTTAACCTCGCGCGTTCTGTCCCGCGTATGCTAAACCAGTGCCGTGCAACGAATTTATGATCGAAGCTGTACTCGGAATTTATAGTGCCGCGTTCCCTCGAATTTATTCCTCGGAAAATGTAACGAGACGCGTCGGTGAATTTACGCGTGTTACCGCCACCGCCGCCGCCGCCGCACGCAATTTTTAACACGAAACGATAAACATCTTGATCTACGATCCAACGAAAAGGTATTCGGAAAGCCGATCGTACAACTACCAAAAACGATTCTCGAACGACCCCCTCGCATGCATACGTGAAAAGAATTACATTTCATTCAGTAGTACAAGTGCTATGAATATTTGTGTCTGCTCAGCATTGACACTTTGTTTGACAATTAAATATGTTGAATTTCTAACTAACAATAAGCTTCAGATTTCAATTCCTGTCGAATATAGTAACATACTGATATAAGCTGGAATAGAATAATTCGTGTAATAGTACGTAAACTCGATACCAATGCAAATATTTTTTAACTAAAGTTCGAATTAATAGTCAAAATCTTGCAGTTTATCTCAGGGTTTTTGAATCTTTCTG